CTATCTATCTATCTATCTATCTATCTATCTATCTATCTATCTACATATGTATACAGTATGTGTGTGTGTGTATCTGTATATATATAGATCAATAGGTAGATTGATATACTATTCCGTTAAAGACTGAAAAGAATCAGTAAGAAAAATTTGTAGTATATATAAGTATATACTTGTACTGTATATATGCAGCGAGAAGGTTCCAGGTTTGATTTCTGCATGGAGTTTGCATGTTCTTCCTGTGCATGTGTGGGTTCTCTCTGGGTACTCAAACTTCTTCCTAAAGTCCAAAAACATGACTGTTAGGCAAATTGGCTTCTTTAAATTTTCTTTAGGTGTGTGTGTGTGTGTGTGTGTGTGAATGGTTAATTGTCCTGTTTGTCTAGGTGTTACCCTTTGATAGACTTGTGACCTGTCCAGGGTGTACCCCACCTTTCGCCCGTTGACAGCTGGAGATAGGCACCCCTCACGATCCCAGTTGGGATAAGTGTGCAGAAAAATGAATGGATGCATATATATATATATATATATATATATATATATACTTTGACCAGTCCTGGCGAGTTATTCTGTCAATGGCTACATTTAGAGATGTGTGCCTTTATTCATGTGGGGAGAAAGAAAAAAACTTCTAAATTAAATTTCAATGTTAGTATTCAAGGCTGTAGCCCTAATTCAAAGCTGTGAAAAGTTTGTAAGAAGTTTAACCATTATTTGATTGTACAACTATTTGTTATCGTTCTAACTGATTTTCAAAAGTTCCAAACTAATTTAAACCTACAAAGTGTCAAGTTTGTACCTCATCAGTTTTATGTCTTTATATCCCATATTTCTTTAGAGTTGCTTGTTTAGAGTTGTGTTGCTTTTTAAAAATGATTCTTACCAATAACAATTTGTTAGAGAGTTTAGTTTATATCTAGGTTTCTTGATTATACAGGCCTGGCAATGCCTTGTCAAAGTTGTCACTAGATAAATGGTTATTTCAAGATACATTTTTAAAAAGGGACAAACTTCTTTGGACAGATTTATTTTGAAATTACATTTTACATTTGAACAAGTTATTTAGATCTAAAAATACATTTTCAGAAATGATGTAAATCATTTAACAAGCAAAAAAAACAAAAAAAAACAACAACAAATGGCATGCACTTTTTCACCAGCTATAAACCTGGTAAAGTCCTTTTACTATTATGTTACACAATCATTTATAATCTGTGGGTCTTAATTTTGCAAATTCTAATTCCATAAGTGAAGAAGGATGTGATTCATAATTTGCACATACTTTCATGATAGGCTCATTAAAGAACTAGTTTATTTAAGTAGCTAAATATTTATACATAAAAAATAGGAATACTACCAAATATTAATTAACATATTTTACCAATCAGTAAAATGTGTAAATAAAATTAATATATCTTACAGAGTAAAAAAAAAAACAACTTTCAGCAATTATTTTGTCTCAGTGCTTGCATCACAAGAAATAAGGTAAGTGAATTATAAAAATTACAAGATATGAAAAAAAGGGTTTTCTTGAATTGAGTAATGGGGAGTCTGAAAACATAAATAAGCAATAACTAATCTGTGAGTTTTTATTAAAGTTTATTCAGGCATTTCTCCTTTAATCATTGTTTTATCTCTGCTTTTGACACTAATAAGAGTATTTTCAGGTTACTGTAAGAGATTAATACTTCACAAAACACATTATTAAATGTAGTGCATGTTGTTGTCATCTGATCTGATAGAACAAATGTTAAACGGTCATTTTTTTGAGCATATTTTTATTTATTTGGGTTAAGTTTGCAGATTGGGAAAAGGCTAAAGCGGTTTTCTCCATTGTGCTTTTCTCACATAAAAAAATCAGGTGAAGCCCATAGTGCTGTGACAATGCATTGTTATAGCCTGACAGGTTCTCCAGCTAATTAAAACCTCTGACTCATTCTGTTCCCTGATCACTCCTTACAAATTCTCTTGAGTGGCTTCAGTAAGCACGCACAGGCTTAAGTGAATGTTTACCTCCCCTAATGACTATCTGTCTCAGCACTGAGCAAATGGAAGTGCTTTGGTCCTTCGCATAACTCACTGGGGCTACAAAGACTCACAGTTGACTCCCCAGAAGAAAGTTTTTGGCTCAGCTTTATGACTACAAAGGCCCATTTACAGGTTGTCATGACTGTTGATAAGAGTAATAATTGCCGAACATCATTGCAATTTGCTAATGCACTAACATGAAGAAAGATGTCCTCACTTCTTCTCCGCTGGAAGATGCATATCACTGAAAAGGAGAAAAAAAAACATACCAAAATGAATGTAGGAATATCAATAATTCCATGTGAGAATCTAAGATTAAAGTTTGTAAATTTATTTTTGTATGTCCCCATACACCTTTGAGTTAATGAGTTCTTAGAAAATCAATGGTTGTTGATAAACTTCCCTAATTTGCACTCTGATTATGTACCCATATTCCATTTTCGTCTCTTTTTCATTTAGTTTTGCTTTCACAAAAAACAGAACAACACGTTTACATTTACAGTAAAACCTCATTTAGGGTTTGAAATATTTTACTCTACTTAATGTTTTTTCAAGGTGAAAGGATATAGGTACAGTATGGGTAACTTTTAAATGATTTACTTTCATCAAGCTGCACATTAATTATCAAATTCTCAACCCTAACCCTGACTTTTAGTAATACGGTAACATACTTCTAATTGTATGAGCGGCTTTATAAATATTTCAACATGTGTTTGATCATTTCTCTTTGTTGCTGAATTCAAAGTATTTACAGTAACAGTGCAAGGCCTTCTTCCCATAAGCCTCATTTACTAAATCTGCATCAGCAATTTTAATATTATGCAAGAAAAACCATGGATGGATGGATGAATGCTAAAACAAAAACAAACAGACATAAACTTTCTTATTTGAAGTTATGGTTACTTATCAAAAAACAGGTCCAGTGTTCCCTTCTATTTTTTTTTACTAATTCCTAACCTCGTAGTACATGTATGACCTCTGAGATAGAGACGTTTTGTCATAACAATACTGTATGTTGAATTCAGTTCAATTCTGTTTATTTCCATAGTGCCAATTCACAACACACATCATCTCAAGGAATTTTACAGAGACAATTCAATCAGTTCGCATAGTCAGGGTGGTTTTTATATAATTTAATTAATGTTTCTTTCACTCTAGTATTTACCTTGGGGTTTTTTTTTGTATGTTTTAATTGTGTGTATGCAGGTCTGTAAGGACTTAATTATGCTTCCTAGTGGAGTTCACAGATTTGCTGCTGCATCCTCCATCTCACAGACTTAAAAATAAAACTCCTCTCCAGTATTTTTAAATCCAAAGCCCTGCTGGAAAAGTTATGTTCAAACAGAGTTGATTCCGCCTTTGTGATATTTGGATACTAGGGCTTTAAAAGAGCACAGGACCATTCCTGATTGCAGTTCACAGCTCAGCTGCTATGACCTGCACATTTTGCACACCTTCCTAGTGCCTTAATGAGCAGTTTTCTGTGACATTGTCTTTGATCTCTCTCCCTCTTTGCACTTGGTTTATATCCACACAGGCCAGACAGACAGCCTTATGTTGCATCAATTGGCAATCAATTCTCCAGCCCTGCCCGTCTCTGCCTGAAAAAGAAATAAGCGACGACACTTAGTACACACTCCGGTCTTCATATAAGAAATCCTATTCTTTTCTTATGCAGTGGCACTCTCAAACAGATGAATGATTTATTCAAAATTGTAAATAGAAGGGTTTACTTCCCATCTTCCCATATGGATTTTGGTCCTCAATAAGCCACTGCACACATTTCATTTAAAAATTTGAAACAAAATTGAAATTAAGCAAATAAATAATAGGTTTTTTTGTTTGGAGACTAAAATACTGGTCAAGTGCAGGTGCAATGTAAAAACAGTGAGGAATAAAATTCCCTTTATTCAGAAAGAACACGATATACCCGAAACTGTCTGTTCCTATTAGGAAGTTGTCCTTCACAAGTCCTCATTGCTGCAAGGCAGGGTCAGAGGAAAAAGGCACCCAATCCCTGGACATGATGATGAAACCGTGACAAATCAACTCATTCTTTCACTTCAGATTTTGCAAGTCTCTGCGCCATGGGATTTCAGCCTCTCTTTGAGAATAGGAGCTGGAGAATCTGGAGACTCAATAGTGTTCATTTTCTCTAATCCAATCCCTGTATAAAACCTCCCTTTGAACGTCTGCGGAGAAGCTGAAAGGCACCACATATTCTTCCCTCAGTTCGTCCGCTCTCTGATCCAAGCTCGGTGTCCGACGCACAGGCGCTCGAATAGAGCAGATCTAATTAAGTTTGCTGATGGTGAAAGTGATGATTACTGTGGAGCACACAGAGAGGAGGGAGGACCAGGGCAAAAAAAAGATAACGAGTATGTAGGGTGGGGTGTGTGGGGGGTGTACTGTGGTCATCCTTTCTGATTCTTCTCGTGAAATGAAGCTTATCGCCTTTATTAATGACGTTATAACTTCCGCCGGATTCATATATGAGATAACATACGATTTTACAACCAGCACTTTATAGACTCCTCTTTTCACTGTTTAATAAATCATTTTTTACTACAATAACCAAATCTTTCCTTGTATCTACACCATTTAAAAATATGTTTTCAATTCAGGGCTTGAAGTATAAAGTATGTGAAATGTTCAAATTTGCTTTCCTCATTTTCGTTTTAATCCAGGTAGACGCACATATATTTCCCTCCTGTATCCTGTTAGTATTAATACCGAGTGCAGGTGTTCTCCATCCTTTCTAAAACCAAGCGCCCACTCTCACTATCAACTGACCATCCAGTCTGCCACCTTTCACCATCCACTGAACGCCTCCTACTCGCACTTCCTCCGGTTGCGTCCCAGCCAACCGGGAGTATTCTAGCCGCTGGAATACATTAAATTGCATGTTGTAGGAGGGAGGAAGAGCGCGCCCTGAATGCCATTCACACATCCCACTAGCTGGGGAGCGCAGTCACCGTCAGGATCGTCAGCAGCTCTAAGTGCGCTCTGCGTGCGCCCTGAGCGCACTGGCAATATGAGTTAGAGGACGGCTGCTTGCCACACGTCGGTGGACTCTGCTTGGCGTTAAAATAAGTAGTTCACGCGGAAAAAGATGAGTGTCTACAGATGCGCTGCGACTCACTTGGAGAATACTTAGAGAAACCTTCCTGCTGAGCATCTTCGGAGTTCTCCGCTGGAAAAAAAGAAAAAAAAAACGCTTTTTCTTTAAGCAAGTGGGGATTTAATCATCTGTTCAGTTCACGTTGCACACTCCTTTTGCGCGCAGCCTCTCTGAAAACACCTCCGATGCCCCTCTTTGTAGTCGCTAAACCGACCAGAACTTTGCCGTCCTATGACTGGATTTTATGGATATTTTTTTCCGACCTGTCACGGACCCAAATACTTGCCCAATAAGGTAAGGGCACAATAATTGAAATATAAAAAGTGATTCTAGATGTGGATGTTTTCAACTTAAATTTAGAATTTTGGATAAAAGCCATTTTTCCTTATAGTTTCAGTTGAAATCGGTTATTTGCCAAGTATTTATTTTTGTAGCCTCTGTATCCTAAGCAAAATTCCAATTATACACCTAATTATTTACTACCTTTCTGCTACCTCTACTACTTGTAATCTCTAATTTCCTTCCTTTCATACTTCACACAGGACTTATTAGGATTGCAAGAAGAATGAAGAGTCACCGGGGCCGGGGGAAGCACCATGAGTGGCCCGTGCACCGCCACTAGACTGACGGCCCTCATGTTTTTATGGAAGTGGTTGACATTAAGCCTGCTCGTGAGCTGGGTGTCAGTGGGGGCCAGTGCCGCGGACTCCACCGGCGCTGGTTTCAGCGGCTCAAATGGACCCCTGGGCTGGCTGCTCTCCGAGAAGGGTCCCTTTCACAACTCACATGGGTTTGTTGATTTCACAGAGCGCTACCAGCAAGGATTCACCACCAAATACAAAATATACAGGTGAGAAGGCGAGTCATATGAACTATAATTATTTGAAAGGAAAAAATTAAATTGTGAAATCTAATTCTGAAGTGAAGAAGGAACAGATATATAAAGGGACTGCAGTTGCTTTGGCTCATTTTTGCAGCTTTGCCCTAGGAAGAAAAAAAAGTATGTTCAAAAAATCAGGCTAGAAATCACATAAGACTTTCCTTTTCACCACAAAGGATGCAGATTTAGTAGGTGGCAAACAGAGGGATGAGGGACTGAGAAGATTACCCCGTGGAGTTTTGCATACAAATGACAGCTCCGCGTGCATTCTGCACAGATCTAAGCTTCTTTTGGTGTGCTTATGCACCTCCTCTTTTTTAGTAGGTAGCAGATACATGGATGGAGTATGATACAAACTCTAAATGGTGCATATCAGTGGAAACTCAAAGTGGAGATACCACAGGAGGGCATGAGCAAAGCAGTGGGATGTTACAGATATCTGACTGAGCCTGTTGATGTGTGACAGTGGGTAGATCAAGTGGCTTTAGAAGTGTGTGGTGGTTATGTGTGAAGACACAGTGGGGTGTAGTTTGAAAGCTTTATTCCTTGTATTAGGGCATTTTTTGGTTTAGACCAGAGCAAGGGTAAGCACAAAACATAGCTTATTCAAGTGTTAACATAGAAGATATTAAATATTATACAGTTAACTATTTTGATTAAGTAAATTATGCTGACCGATTTTCAAAAAATAGTGCATTTTATACATAAAATATCAAATGTAGATTAATGTAATGGGCATGAAAAATAGATACTTTACAATCTTAGGCCTTGCCTAACCTCTGTTATTATTTTACTGTAAAGGATAAGAGGACAACTGACTAGAGTATATCTAGTTTATGGCTTATGCCGTTGTCTTTATGTATAATATTAAAACTACCCCCCGAAACACCAGATGTCATTTAGACATTGGTTTTTAGGCTAAATGCGATCAGTCCGTCAACGTATTGATTTAGTCCAGAAATAGTTGTTGAAATTGGGCTGTGTTTTGTCAGTGTGATTATGTCTGCCTTTAGTCCAATTATAGATGCTGAATAGATGTTACAAACCCAGTTTTCAACGCTTGAAACGATCTGAAAATTACAGCTTTTAACTTTGACTTTTCAACCAAATGGAGACCATGTTTGGACGTAACCCTTTTCAACCAAATTTGCTCATTGGGGGCTTTTTTTTTTCCTTGGTTGATGCTATTTGGTGATTAGCAGTTCAGATATTTGAAAAAAAATATTATTCTAATGAATAAATAATGGAAAACTAACAACACCCACTATTGTTGGTTTATAACCACATGAAATAACAGCATTATCCTTTGGTCCTTTTTTATATGTACGTTTCATATAATCAGGTCAGGGTTAAGGACTATGATTATCTTGAAATCTTTTCTTCTTGTAGGAATTTGAATTTCCACCGCTTTTGAAAAACCTCCACAACAGTTTCTCTTTTGCATGCTTTAGGTATTACAAAAGAAATGGAAACCAGAGATCAGGGTGCAGAGAAAACCTGAAAATTGGTATTGCACAGTAAAAAGCCTTGACTGTGTAAATGTTCTTATACTTCTGCTTGTTTAAATAATGTTAAAACAACAGTTTTGTTTCCTTCATGTAAAGAAACAAAGACTTAACAAGCATTTCAACATCAACACTAAAACTCTGAGTGATTAAGTCCTTTTAGGCTGGTTGTTCAATAAATATCTGTTTCAGCGAGTGTGACCTACACATACTGCTTACGGCAAAAACAAAAAAATGTGTTGGCGTTTGCATATTTATTTTGGGGGGGGGAGGGGAGTGCTAAAACATTTAATTAAGAAATCACTATACCATTGCAATTATTTTTTTGTGTATGTGTGTCCGATCAATTTTAACAAATTCCTCTGACCACATGAAATTTCGCTCCCTGCAAAATGCTTGTCATTTAGAATTAGCCCAAACCACATGATTGTTTTCTTATTATACTACAGTTTCGGTGTGTCGTTTACCCACAACCAATTTTCATCAGTGGTTGCTGTGCTGGTTGATTGAGCGTTACTTACTTGGTATACTGAGAGTGTTTGTACTTGTGGCTGGAAATGCAAGGTAAGTCTTTTGATGATCCGTGATGAGGGTGTCGGCCACTGTACAGTAGGAGGACCACTGCCAACTGAACAGAGGTTTGACTGACACTGGCATTTAGCAGCTGACAGGGCAACAATGCCATGAAAAGAAAGGGAATGTTGCTCCGTTTGCTTCCCTACATCCATCATTTCCTCCCTTCTTCCGTCTCTGTGGGTGTCCTCTTTTAATTTTTTTGAATAACTTAATAGCTTGTTTACTTCTCACTACATTCTTATTTTAAACCTTTTTATAGACATGAAAGCTGACACATATTAACATACATTAGTTAAATTGATGCACAAGAGTAACTGATTTACATAACAGAATTTATTCTGGTTTGGAAAGCCAAGCTTAAAACCTTCCTAAATATGCTGTATTGCTTTTATTGATCTCCACCTTTAACACAATTATCTATCAGAAAACATTCAAGGACGTTGATAAATAAACGGAGAACATTTTCTTTATTATTGGTGTATTGAAGCAAAATACTCAAGATTTTAGGTAGAAAAGGCAATGTTGGAAAACTAATTTATTTTGCTCTGGGCCTGTACAGGACAGCAATTGCTAGCGCTGTTGCCTTACAGCAAGAAGGCCTTGGCTTAGAATTCCAACAAGGAGTAAAGCATAGGGTGAATTTTCTCCTGCCACTGTCCAATAGTCTGTATTTTAGGTTGACTGGCTGAGCTAAATTGCCATTGGGTGTGCATGCTTTTCCTGTGGGCCTCTGTGTTGTGCTGTGATAGTCTGTCTTGGGTGTACACTGCATCCTGCCCAATGTGACAAATGGAGATGGACATGAATCCTACTCTGATCCTGCAAGGTCTTAACTGGTTGTAGCAGGAAGACAAATGGTATTGATCTTCACTAATATTGTGCGTATACATTTTTCAAGCAAAGTTAATTTCATGGCTATACAGTTAAACTTCTGAATCTAAACCTGACTTTATTTAGAACTTCAGAGAATATTAAATATTCTGAATTGAGATGCATATTTTATCTGTTAGAACAGTACTGACACATACAAAGCATCAATCAGAAAAAAAAAAAAAAGATTTTTAACCCAGGTTAAAAGAAGGTTGATTAAATAAATAAATAAAAACAAGGCTGTCATTGGTGGACGCATTGTATATACTGTATATATATCCCATGCACCTTTTTATTCCTTAGTAACTGTTGTAACGAGTACATTTCTCCACCGTGAAAATAAAGTCCTTCAATCAATAAACAGAAAATAAACAATACATTCTAGGCTCTTCTCCTTTATTTCCATGTCTTTTCGCATTTTCTCTCTCTGTTTTCCTCCACTCCTTTCTTCTCCCACCTTTCATCTTTCGCCAAATGATTTCAAACCAATTTTTCTCTGCCACTCATAAATATTCTCCAGAGCTGTGTTGGCCTTTAGAGTCAGGCGGCAGGGAAGTTGTAGTTGTATTTGAATGTTATGGAGAGAACTAGAGGAGTGGGGAGACTATATCCCCACCTGCTGATCAGTTATTTTATCAGAAGAGTCCCAAGAAAGTTATTATCGTATTAATAACATTTTTCAAACAAATTCTAAATCTTCTAGGGGTTGTACTCAGGTGAGGAATGATGACATTTTGACTTTTACATTAACACTTGGTCGTTTTGCGGCATAGCATTAAGTGCAGATTTAAAAAGCTTGCAAATGTTTGGCTTTCAGTTGCAGCCTGCAATATAAAACAATATAAATCTAATTGGAGGATTGTTTTTTTTTATGAATTATTCTTTTGAAGGTCAGATTAAATTCAATATTGGTTAATGTAGATAGATAATTTAGATTTAAGCTTGGAAAAACAAGTGTAGACACACTTAACAGTCTTTCTTTCTCTGGGATTGCCAAAAAAATCCACCTGAATGTCAAGGATAATAGGTTTAAAAAAAAAAAAAAATTCTTCCATTCTTCTTTTTCTCTGAACTGCGAGTTACAATCCTCTACACTTCTTTGTCACTTTTATTTTCTATTAAAAGCAGCCGACAGGCTCTAGGTATTCTTGTCAAGCAGACGCATGTTGCTACATTGTATAAAACAAATAAAAAAAACAATATCCCAACATTTAAAGCCGTTCTTGCAAATTTCTAATTGATCATATTTTCTGTATTGACCGACACATTAGGCTGATACATTTTCTTGAACCTGAAGTTAATTGAACAGAAAACTAGGCGTTTAGCAAAAGAAAGATGTGTTTGATTTAATAATATAGAAGCTTATGAAATCATCTCCGCTCGTGGGAAGTTCTTGTCCTATAATATTTTGGGTGCACTGAAGCCATATCGGGACAAAGTAGCATATTAGTCATAATGTCGGCACCTCCTTTCTTCTTTTTCATGCGCCATAACTTTTACATCACGCCTCATCTCCTTTGTTTTCTCCTTTCGTCTTCCCTGTTAGCCCACTGGCGTTCACATTGACTTCATTTGATGTAAGGAGACGTCTCTTGTAATTATGGTCTGATTAGTGTTTCAATTATATACAGGCATGTTTGTGGATAGGTTGGGCTGCCGAGGCATGATTTCAGAACACCTGTCATTTTGCGTTGCCTGGTGTACTTTATCTATCTTGTGTTTATTACTTTGTCATTGAATTGTGAATGCTTTCGATGAGAAAGCACATTTAAAACAGATTACAAATGACCATACAGCTGCAATGAAAAAGCAATGAAGAGAACAGAGAGGAAAGAGGTATACTGGAGAGAAGCGATTAAGGAAGGCAATACCATAATGCACTGCAATGCAGCTTAAAAAAACATTTACAGTATAGATCCGCATGAATTCATATTTCATATTTAGGCTTGAAAGATAAAATATTAGTCCTAAATTATGTGTAATCAACATAACGCATGATACTTTGTACATTTACATGTT